CAGGAGCCCAAAAGAGGTGAAATTAATTTATTTCTTCCTGCGGAGCCATCTCACCCCATGAGGACATGCAGCTCGTGTAAAGGAACCTGTCAGGCTGATGCCCAGTGCACATTGCAACCATGGCACAGAAACTCCAGTGGGCACTGACCCCCTCCTGCCAGCAGGAGCTGGGAGAAGCTGGGCTCCCAGAGCCGCTGGGAGAAGAGGAAGGAGGAATAGGGCAGCTCCCCGCCTTCCTTGTCCCCTCACCCACTGACAAAACAAGTGCTACATCCTCGCTTCCCCACGCCGTGAACAGGGACCGGCAAAGAGCAAGAGGTGCCCGTGCTGGTTGCGCCAGGGACGATGCCACCCCTCTGCTGCCAGGGGATAAAGAGCACTGGGGAGGTTTTGAGGGGTCAGTGGTGCCCACATGTTTTGGGCGGGTCCCCAGCGGTGACCACGCACCTGTAGCATCCTGCAGAGAGCAGTAGCTGCCCCTTGTGAGGGAAGGAGCCTCCCTTGATGGCGAGGGCTGGAGGAAGGAGGGCTACTTTGCTGCTCCATCATCACCTGCAAAAAGCTCATGTGCCAGCGGTTGGCTCTTAATTACACATGTAGCTAATAAAGGGAAGGAGCTCGCTGCTCCCCTTCACAAGGGAGGCAACATTGTCTGAGAATCAAGGGGGCTGCAAAGCAGGAGATACCAAAAAAACCCTGTATCTCAGGGCCAATACACAGATCCTTAATGGCTTTTGCTGATTTGACAGATGCAGGACACGGAAAAATGAGCAGATTTATGGTTGCAACTGTCCCTAAGGCTCAGAGATGCTTCTTCGGATACAGATCTTTAAATCATCATTAACATGACATGAGGGGGCACTGGAGAAGACAGAGTTGGGCACAGCAATGCAGAAGGTGACAGCAGAGTTTGCTGGCACTTCCTACGCAGTGCTCCCATCCCAGGATGCAGTGATGCTTTATTTCAATCAATCATGCACAAAGTGGGTGCAGTGACAGGGTGCTGCAGCTCCTGTGGGCTGTGGGGAGCTGTAGCATCATGGATAAGATCCATGTGCGACGATGGAAGAGCTGGACAGCTTTCAGAAGCGTTGGTATTTTTTCAGGAAAGGAGGAGAAGAGTTCAGAGCTCTGGAGAAGCCCGGATCCAGGGAAGGTGTGCAAGCAGCAGAGACCAGAGCCGCTCCTAATGTCCCAAAGATCTTCCCTACAGCAGAGACAGAAGAACAACAACTGACAGAAGAACAACTCATTTGGGAATTTCAGCTTTGTCTTTCGATTGCCTCTTGGATGAGGTGGGAGCTGAAAGTTTCAGGGCTTTGCTAGGTCCCTGCCAGGTGCTGAGCAGATTTTGGGGACCTACCTTAGCGCCTGCCTGACCCAGTGCTGCTCTCCAACCGCCGCCTGCAGTCTCCCCGTGCAGGCAGGCAGCGCTCCCCGTCGGCAGAGCCCTGGGAAACTCATCCCCACTCCCTGCAGCCGGCGGGCCCCCGCTCCAGCCCGTAGGCCAGCTGACTCCTGTGTTCCTGTAAAGCGTTAAAAGAAGTCAGACAACTCACGACTGAAAGCATTAGGTGTTTATTTGCACTTCAGACATATTAACTCCATCTGAGAGCCAGCCCCGGCTCCCTTTGCACAGCAGCAAAGGTGGGTCTGTGCGAGGAGCAGCTGAATGTGATAAACATCGGGCTTTGGTCCAAAGAGCGCAGCGTCTGTGGGGCGGCACTTTCCCAGCACAGGCTGATTTTAACTCACAATTCACTTCCTTCGGCTGAGCTGTGAGATCTGCTGCTGCAAATCATGTTGCTGCTTTCACAAGGACGGAAAGGTTCAAGCTGTTCTTGGTGTGGAACATCAAGAGCAAAAACCAAAACGCCACTTGGGAGCCTCTGCTCCCCCCGCAGCAGAGACCCCCACAGCCCCCGGCAATGACACATGGACTGCCTTTGCCATTGAATCTCGCCTTCAGAAGCCTTCAAACCAGCGTTGCCTCTTTTTTTTTTTTTTTTTTGCATGTCTAATTTTTAATAGACATGTCTAATCCCCTCGCGAGGCTGGATGCAAGAGTAAAACGCAGCCACCCACCTGAAGATTTCGAAGTCTCCTGCGATTTGCCTGCTGAGAACGGTGGTTTAGGCTACTGCAGTCATTTGCCTTGCAAAAAAAAAACCCCAAACCCAACCAACAGCCTCCAGAAACTTTAAAATGCCAATTTGTTTTCTGCTGTATGCTCTTCCAAAAAAAGAGTGAGTAATGCTAAAATGCTTTTTTCTTCTGTGAAGGAGGTGGGCAGTAGAAGATAACACAGATCCTGAAGCAGCTCAGTCACCCAGGAACAACTAACCCAGGAACTGGCACAGATTAGTCATATATTTAAAACCTGATGTTTTTATGAATATTTCCAAAGCACTTCCCCCTGCAAAAATTCACCCTCTCAGCTGTTCTGCGATGCAGGTAATTAATTACGGGTGCCTTCTCCTTGGGTGAAGGAGGGAATCCTGTCTCAAACTCACGTCCATTGGGGGAGAGGGGACAAGACATCGTTGACCCCCATCCCTCACTCACTGAGGAGCTCGATCAGCAGCCAGGGGGATGTTAACCAGCTTGGACTGGATGTTAACCAGCATTGGAGGCTGGACTGAGAAATACTTCAGGACTGGAGTAAACACAGTGTTCGTATCTTTCCATCTCTAGGCGTACCATAGGCAAAATGGTTGGGTTGAGTAACTTTGCTTGAAAGCCTGGTCCCAGTTTGCTCCCTGACACTGGCAGTCCTGTCCGTCCCTTGTGTGAGACTGGAATCTCTGGAAGATGCTGCAGTCACCATCTCTCTGCAAAACAGGCATCAAGGTGGGGGCCGGCCGCCAAGAAGGGGCCAAGTGCAAACTGAAGTGGTGCCTCCTTTGGAGGGGGTGTTGGGTACCTCAGAGCTCATCAGAAGCTTCCTCCTCGCCAAGAATGATGCTCATCTTCTTCTCATCTGCCTGGCAAAAGGTTTTCCTCCTGAAGGTGAACCCCAGGGACTGGCTGGCTCTTTGACGGATGGTGCTCATACGTGACACGCAGTCCTCTCTGGTCATCACGTAGAGCAAGGGGTTGAAGGCACTGTTGAGGCTGGCCAGGCCCCGGGTCACCTGGTAGGAAACATAGATGTTCTTTAAAGTCTGTGTGCAGGACCCTTGCAGTTGCCAGCCTCGAGACAACAAGTTGAGATTTCTGAAGATGTGGTAGGGGAGGAAACAGATGGAGAAGAGGACCATCACGAGAATCACCAGTCTGATGCTTCTTCTCCTGAGGCTGAGGTCCATGGTGTCGTTCCTGCAGAGCACCACCACCACATGGCAGTAGCACCCGACGATGATGAGGAACGGGATGACGAACCCAGTCACGGTGATGGCTGCGGTGTACGGCAAGTAAAGGCCCAGGTTCTCATGCCCTGTCGTGTCATGGCACCGTGTTCCCATGTCATCCATCTTGCTGAAGGTGAAATCGGGAGCTATCTGTGCGATGACCCACACCCAGACCATCGCGCTGAGCCACGCAGAGGAGGTTGCCCCCTGGTACCTGCCCCGCACCTTCAGCGGGTGCACGATGCCCAGGTAGCGGTGGACGCTGATGCAGGTGAGGAAGCCGATGCTGGCGTAGAGGTTGAGGTGGAAGAGGCCGCGGGTGATCTGGCACCAGCCCTGCCCAAAGAGCCACACTCTGCCCCGTAGGTAATAGCTGACGAGGAATGGCAGCGTGCTGACGTACAGCAGGTCGGCCAGGCCCAGGTTGCCCACCAGCAGGACGAGGGAATGGCGGGCGCCCTGCCGGCGCCCGGTGCAGAGGTGCCACAGCCCCAGCCCGTTCCCCGCCAGCCCCAGGGGGATCACCACCAGGTAGACGGCAGGCAAGAAGCGCTGGGCGAAGGCGGTGTCCACGGGGCACAGGGCCCTGCTGCCATTGCCGGCCCACGGGCTGACAGTCTCGGTGGCCATCGGGCGCTGCGGTGGCCTGTCCCACGGTGGGGTGGCCACTGCCGGGGCGGTGCTGGTGGTGGCAGAGACGGGGCGGCCCCGGCAGCGCCGTGCCCGGCGCCGGCAGCCCTGTGTTCCCCAGGCCTGTGCTTCCCGCTCCTGCCGGGCCCCGTCTGGGGCGGTTTGAGGGCGCAGGCGCTCCCTCGGAGCGTGGGGAGGATGTGGCGAGGGCCGTCTCAGCGCAGAGACTCGGTGGCCGGAGGTTTCCGCCGCTCCCTTGGCGCCTGCCGTCAGCCCACTTGAGATATTTTGAGCCGGGCGCCGGGGAAGCGCAAGCCCACGGCTATTTCGGACACCGTGCGTGCCTGGAGGGAGCGGGAGGAAGGCAGCAGGGAGGGGGGCTCTTCATGGGGGTGAGTGGGAGATGTCTGAGCACGGGGGCCAGAGCTTTCAGCCTGGTCCTGCTCTGTCCCACTCAGGGTGAGGAGAAACCCCCCCCGTACCTCCAGACTGGGGGCTGGAAGGCTGAACCCCATGAACTGCCCCTCACTTCCACTCCTGGCAGCCTTTTTCCTGGCCCCGCTGCTCAGACCGTACCGTCCATCCAGGAACACCGGGAACAGGGGTAAGGCAGAGACCGGCAGCTCTCCAGGGGGCTCGTGCTGCCCGTCCCGCTCCAGCCGACAACCAGGCCAGCAGCCCTGCTCCTTGCCGAACGGCTGCACCTTCCCCAAGCACACAGCAAAGTCCTGCTCTTGCTGCCGCCTTCTGTATCCCTACCCAAGTACAAAAATCCTCTCCCCCGCCCCAGCTCTTTGACCCACGCAGGGAGGGAATGCGCGACAGGCTGTCACCTTCCTCTCCTGCCGCGGGGGATGTCACGCAGAAGACACCCAGCTACCGTGAGGTGGGGGCAAGAGCTAAAACCAGCGACCCCAAAGAGGACCCCCAAGGAAAGGCAGCCCCCGTTTGCATTGCTGAGCAGCTGCCGCCGTATAAATGAGGCCAGAAATAACTTTATCTCTAGGCGCAGGAGTAAACATGCCAGCAATCAGAAGGGAGAAGGTTTACCCTGGCAAGCCATAGGGAAACGACCTTGGCAAAACAACTTTATTTGAAGGGCTGGGCCCAGGAAGGGCCACAGCCACCTGCTTTCCTGGAACTTAATCTAGGGCAGGGGGTGGGAAGAGGCTGATGTCTCATCCGTCAGCGGGGAAGGAGTGGGGCAAGTCCTGCCGGGCCATCCTGACTGCCCTTCCCTCTTTGGGAGCAGCCGAACGTCTCTGCTGGACCATGCTCAGGCATGGCGGGTCGGGGTCAGCATAGGGAAGCCCAAGACATGGGGTGACAGTAGCTGCTTGTTGTATGTATCAGCGTGTTGACTCCAAAAAGTGCTTGCTGGAGCAGATAAATGATGGGAAAGGCTGTATGTTATTTCCTGCCGACATGATAAAATCTGTCCACTACAGGCATGTCCCAAGAGGTGCAGCTTAAAAGCTGTTTCCACGGGGTGAGGAGATGGCCTTTCTGAGGTTTGCAGAGGCTCTGGTGGGACTGTGCTCCTGGAGTAGCAGCAGCAGAGGAGGGGGTCCACAGGGGCTCACCTCTCAGGAAGGCAGTCCTCCATCCTGCCCTGCTCCCGCCCCCTTCACCTCCATGCATCTCAGCTGCTCCTGCAGCCTGGGGTTGGGGTGGCACTTGCAGAGCAACTTTATGGAGGTGCGAAAGTGCAGCAGTATGAGAGGAACAAACTGGGACCAGTTCCCTTTGTCCCAGAGCATCAGCCACTGGGGAAACTGAGGCAGAGAGAGCAGCTGGCTGGGAAGACTGCTGTAGTCATGGGAAGGGTCATGAGCTGCTCTCAGCAGCGTAGACAAAACTTTCTCGGTCCCCAAAAGGAAGGCTTGGGGCTGGGTGCCTCCTGCGGTGGGAAAAGAGGAGCGGGGCAGAGCACAGGGAGCACTGCCCGTGCCCGGCTGCAGCCCTGTGCCCTCCACACCTCTTGCTCCCTGGACCTGCTGGAGGCACGCACGCAGTGGCACAGCTCCTCTCCCCTCTCGTGTGTTTATATTGTCCTCTTGACCCATGATTTCACTCACAATAGAGGTGCTACCACCCAACTCTGCCAGAGCATCCCCTATCAGGATGTTCCCCTTCAGTGCCTGGCTCGGGCACATGGCAGCGATGCTGCTGCCACCGTGTCCAGGGCAGTGTGAGAACACAGGGCTGAAAGAGCTCTTGTGAGTAGCAAACACATAACCGGAGTGATGGGCTTTTAGGCAACCAATTCAAGGCCCTTCACCAACAGCAAAAAACGGCCTTGATCTGCCTCTTTTTTTTTATTAAGCACTGCACTCTTGTCTTCAGGGAGGTATCTGAAAGCATTTAGCTTTAATGAGGGGCTCATCCAGCCCTTTCTCAGCCAGCACCATGCATTTAAAAATCATCAGTCATGAGAATGGCTTGGGAAAAAAAAATATCTGATGCACATTGTTTACTCATGCTGTAGCACACAGTTTCTCCTTCGGCTGGTGAGTGTTCTAGCGCTGAAATGAGCTATCATCTGTTGCTCACTGCTGGTTCAGGAATATGGTTGTCAAATCACATGCCATTTATGTGTGCAGATGTGGCAGTGTGCCTTGAGGACAGGGGTGAGTTGTCATCTGGGTTTTGGTGTTTTTTTTTTTATCTTTACAAGTGACCGCAATCATCTGGGGATGGCTGAATATTTACCTCCTGCCCCACAGAAGCATGCGAAGCCCCGGACCCGCTGTGTCAGAGGCTGCAATAAACCCGATCCTCAAATAACCACATGTTCCCAGGGTAGCAGGGCTTTAGAGGGAAGAGCAAATATTGTGAGGCTGGCAATCACATTGCAAGAGCTGATTTCCCTGTATTCTTAGGGAAAAATAACTCTGATTTATTTGGATTCATTAATTCATTATTTAGATGTTTTCTGCTTAGTGAATCGGGGAGAAATGACATTTTGCAGGGGAAAAAAAAAGGAAAATTATAGCAGAGGTGCATTGAGTCATTTCTGTTTGAGATAAGAATTACAGGTTGCTGCTTATAAAGTGACCTTTTGAATTTTACCATCACCCAGAGGTGGCTGGGCAGGATTTGGGAGGGGGTGAGAGCCCTGGCAGCACTCCCTGCTGGCAGCTCACCCGGCCTTGGTGGCCATGTCCCAACATGCTCAGACAAAAACTGGCTTAAAAACAGGATTTTCAGTATACAGAACATGTCTTACCCATGTCAGTTGAGGAACATTGTGGTTTTAAAGTTTTACGTGAGCCTTGTGTCACTACTTTTTTGGCACGGCCATCGCAGAGGTGAAATAAGTCAACAAAAGCTGCAGACCGGGCCACGTTCATTCTGCGGTTTGCTGCCTGCCAGCGGTTCGCCGTGTCCCCTGTATCAAACTGAATTAACGATTTGTATTCAGGCAGAGCACCAGATGATCACAGTAAATAATTCTCTTTGTAAGCAATGTTTTACTGCATGAGCAGTGAGATATTCCACCCCCCCACACCACCCCCGGCCCCAGCCAAGAGGTGTCTGTAAAGCATCCTTGACTTTAATTTTATTTTCAGCACTTGCAGGGGCTGGGGGAGTGGGTGAGCGGCTGCCCTGGCCCTGCTGCCTTTCCTGCTGCTTGTGGAGAGGCTTTCCCCTGGGCAGGAGATAGGAGCTCCTTTGCCCCTGCACCCCTAAATCTGCCCCGGTACCATGTTGGCCTGGGCCAGGAGGGCAGTCAGCTGGTGACGATGGTGGCACGATACTGGGGAAATCCTGCTCCGAGGTGAGCAGAGGAGGTGTGGGGCTGGCGAGAGGAGGCATGAGTTACGGGGGGGGGAGAATTGGGGCTTTGATTTTTGGGAGGCTGAAAAGAGGCATGGCCTGGTCTGTGCCTGGGGCTGCAGACCCGGCAGTGATGCAGCCAGCGCCATGCCGTGCTCTCCCACGCATCCTCGCAGCGAGCGGAGACCCGGGCACATCGGCAGAACTGATGGAGTTACGGCTGGGTAAAAACAAAGGGGCAGAGTTTAATCCAGGATATAATATACTGTAATAAAGTTTTCGGTGCTTTGATTCACCTTTTTTTTTTCTTTTCTTATTCTAAGCAGCCTGAATTGAGGTGCCTCCAAGCTGCCCGGTCCTGGGTCAGGCCTTTCCTGCAGCAGCCGAGCTGGAGTGAGCAGCAGGGCTCCCCAGGGCTCACCGGAGCAGGGTTCACCCGGCACAGACAGGCCCAGACAAGCTCCACACCTAGATGAGCACGTCTTTATTTTCAGTTCCACGAATACACATCTAAACTGCCCAGATCTCACCCGGACACATCACCTAAACCGCTGCTCCTTCCAGTTGCCCCTCTTGCCCCACTGTGAGACGCGCGTTCCCCCTGCACGCTTGTGCGAGGCCGTTAGAGGGCATTTGAGTTTCATTTTTCAATCATCCAGAAGGATTATCGCTGTGAGAAAGTAAAGGCAGAGCTGCCGAGCAGCTCTCCTGCGCTGACTCTTGCATAGCTGGAGCAGCTCCGGCCGGTCGGGAGAGGGCCCCGATTCATCTTTGCGATTTGTTTTCTCTTTTTCCTGCTTTTCTTTTGGCCTTGGCTCGTGGGGTATGTGCTTGGATGGCAGGCGGTATGTCTGGTGCTGTGGAGCGGGTGTCTCCTGCGTCTGAGCTCCTCGCTCGCCGAAGCCCTGCCAAACCGCCAGTGCTTTGGAGAGGAGGAGGCCAGGCAGAGCAGGAAGGTTCGTGTTTATTCTGGAGAGATGTGGGGAAGGTGAATTAGAGCTGCCATCAGGAGGATGCCTCTGCCCATGCCCAGGAAGGCGGCTGCTGGGCTGCAGGGTGGATATTGTGGGATGGCTGAGCTCGTGTACGGCCAAGCTGCTCAGCCTGGTGCGGCGGTGACTTGTGGTGTGCAGCCCGATGTACCTGCTCCTTCCCCGGGGGGCCAAAGCGTGAGGGTTCCCCCCCGAGATTTGGGCTTCCAGGTGCTGGAGACGGTCTCTCTCGCAGCCCCTGCAGAGCAGAGCTGTGTGCGTGATGTGGTGGAGGAGCAGCATCACCTCGCCAAAAGCCCCACCATTCTGGGAAAGGACCAATTCCTGGTTTCTTGGGTGGGTTCACGCTCGGGGCAGGGTTTTCCCATTTCTTGTTTCGTTCAGCCTAAGAAACTCAGGGATGCTGTCCAGTAACCCTGTTTGGGGCAGTGTGGTGCACAGAGGGGGCAGGTGCTGGGTAACACGGGGATCTTCTCTGTTTCCACCCTCCTTTACAGCCAAAGTCCATCAGTTCTTCCCCAGTTTCCTAAGGGATGAGTCCTCCATCTCCACCAAAACCACAGTGCCGTGGGCTTGTGCCAGTCTCTTTGCCAGGACAAGGTGTTGGCTCCAGGATGCAACCAGAGTGGGCACAGCTACAAACGACCTCCTCTTCCCCTCTGCAAAGGCAAAGCAGAGAGCGATGGGGACACGGAGGGGGTGGTGGTGTGTCCCCCATGTCTAGGGAGCAGGGGCATGTGGCAGTGCGGGTGCCTGGCCCTGGAAAGCGCCGGCTGCATGCGAGCAAGGCAGTTTTGCACCGTGCCCACACTGGGGCTCTGCCAGGCTAATTAAGGGGGTGGTAGAGCCCTCTCAGGTACAGGCAGGGTGCCAGACAGGAGCTGCTGATGCATCTCCAGCCATAGGGGCAGGTCGAGCCCACCTGCAGGGCTCAGGGTTATGTGGGATCCACGGTGCTTTTGGATTCAGACATCCAAAGACCTCAAAATTCAGGTCTGCGCCTTGTTTTCCAAGTGCAGTTTCAGGAGATGGTTTATCTGTCCCCGAGACATGGTCAGCTTGTGGCTGGGGAGGGGTGATGGGATGCCCACAGGCAATCGGGGGTCCCATGGCTCGTGTTGGCTGACGTTTCCCTTTCTCGGTCAAACTTGTTGCCCAGAGGCATCAGCTTCACCGAGGCCTTCACTTACCACCAGGGATGCTGCTGGCAGGGCCGGGCAGGGTCTGGCCATGCAGAGCCGCCTCTGAGTCTCCAGCCTGCAGTAGCGGTTCTGGTTGGAGACACGGGTAGAAAAGCCCACGCCGCAGGTGGCCGAGCAGGCGCTCCACTCCGTGCCCCACTCCTGGCAGGGGTATGGCAGCGGTGGGGACGCTGCCCCGGGGGCTGGATGAAAAGACATGAGGAGAAAAAGGGTGGTTGGAGCCAGGTGCTGTGCAGCGTCCCCTGCGGGTGCTGCGGGCATAGCCCTGCATGGCAGGGAAATGTGCAATGAGGTGTCTCCTGTTGATGTTCACAGCCTGGGGTGAAGGGACCATCCCCAGAGACCTGCATGGGCACCCCCTCATTTGCATGTGCTGCATCTTACCTGCCCCAGCATCCCGGAGGAAGTGCCGGTCCTGGGCTTCGCAGATCCACTCAGGGCAGCACTTCCCAGGGACCTCCACACGCCGTGGGTAGGGGCAATCCGGGGTGGGCAGTCGGACATCCTCCTGGCAGAGCGGGACGCAGGTGAAACCCCCGTCCAGGCAGCGGCACTGGAGTTTGCAGCTGGGCTGGAAAACCTCCCCGTCTCGATAGACCCGGCCGTTCACCTCACAGCCCTCCTCGCTGTCTTCAACTGCAAGCGACAGCCGGGGAGCCCGTTAGGGACAAAGTGACAGAGAGACGTGGATGGCAGAGGGCACTGCTGGGGAAACTGTGGGGCTGGCATGAAGGGGCTGAATGGGGGGCAACAGAAGTGACTGAGAGGTGTGTGAGGCAGGCACAGGTTTGCACCAACCTCCTCTCCTTCCTGCCTCCTCTCCCGATCTCTGGATTTCCAAAGCAGCAGCTCGCCACTTGGCAAGAAACCTACTGCCCTTCAGCTCTGCCCCTGCTTTTCAGGGGTTTCAGGCTAGAAAAAGTTTCTCTGAAACTTCTCTGCAGGACCCCCAGGTTCCAGCCGTGGCAGGTGACTGCAGCATCCCTGGCATCCCAGTGTCCATCCCCGCTCAAACCACCCAAATCCCCCGTCGGTAAATGGCACAAGAGCTGGCTGGAGCTGCAGCGCAAGGCCAAGCAGCATGCATCAGCCTCAGTAAATCTGCTTTCAGAGCCTTAACCGCTTCCCTGAAAGCGCTGCGGGATGCCTGGTGCTGGCCAGAGCTGGGGTATGTGCTGGGCTGGGGGCGCGGGGGCTTCCCCGGGGGCAGCGGGCACCCCTGTGCTCACAGTTGCAGGTGGCTCCTGTCCCCGCGGGCGCCGCGCTGTAGTCGCAGACGAGGCCCTGGCTCTGGTCACAGACGTGGAGGAAGTCACAGGGCTCTCCCAGGCGCCGGGCACAGATCTTACAGCAGCCGCAGCCGTCCAGGACCAGGGGGGACCCGCGAGGGCAGCGAGGTGGCACCCAGGGGCAGTAGCATGGTCTCCGGCACAGCTGGGCACAAACCTGTGGAAGCAAAACAATCCTTAATTCCATACAGGTTGTTCTTTGGGTAATGGCTGCTATTTCACTGGGACAGCCAGGTAACCTTCTCTCAATCATGGGGGCAGATTTTCGGTGGAAGGTGGCTCTGCAAATCCATCGCAAAGCAGCTTGGAAAGCTACTGTTCCCTTACGACACAGCATGATGGGCACCTATGGAAAACCAGGGAGAATCAGGGATGCACAGCACTCTGCAGGATAGGGACTTCAACACACCACTCCTCTGAATACACAGGAGGAGGATGGAGCTATAAGGTGAACATCCCAGGTCGCGGTGGTTGTTTAAGGGGGCCGGCAGCCCTGGAGGCAGCCACACGCTGCCCTAAGAAGCCCGGTGGGATGGAGGGAGGGAAAGCAGCCTGCCCCATGCCTGCCCCCGAGGCAGCGGGCTGTGCCCAGCTGGAGACGTGGCTTTGGAGGGGCTGAATGCACATGGTGAGGGCGCAGCGCCTCACTGCGCACGGTCTTAACAGCTCTCATTCGTGCCAAGGAGCAGGGCATCGCGTTGGCAGTGGGGGAACGGAAGCCAAGTGAACCTCAGTGCTTTCCTTCCTGGTCCAGCTGCCTCCTCTGCCTGGCCCTGCCTGCAGCATCCTCTGCCTGGCCTGGCCCTCTGGGCGAGGAGCCCCGAGGTAGGCACGTTTTCGAGGACCAGGAGCGACATTTCCCCTCCTGGCTGGACCGAGTAAGCACTTCGGCAGGGCTGTGCACCACAGTCCTTTGCCTGCTCAGCTGATTGTTTGCCAGGGATGTGCCTGCAGGGGCTCACCCAGGCAGGTAGGTGTTTATATCCACGGCTCATTCTGGTTGCACAATTACCCTGGCAGAAACAGCTTTTGCAAGCAGCACTTGTGCTCCTGTCATGTCGTATCTGACAGGGCTGTTGCATGTGGGGCCTGACGCCAAGCGAGTTGGCTCTGCAGCTTGGAAGGGAGTTCTTTGCCAGCACTGGCCTGACAGCGCCTGAGCCCCACGCAGCGGCTCTGAGCTGCCCTCCGGCAGCCCTGCTGTGCCGCGCCACGCACGCTCCGCTTGCTGCATGCCCAGCACGTGTGGCGTAGGCAGCAGTTCAGCAAACACGCAACCAAAAAAATTCATCCCTGTGCTGGTCCTGATACTGGTGTGTCTGCTGAGCCTGCCAAGAGATTGATGGGCTCAGCCGGACCATGTGGATTTTAGATACTGTTTTACTTTCTCTTTTAGTTTCTTCCAGTAGCATCAGCTCTGACATGAGCAGTTAGACAGAGAAGGTAGGTACTGGTGTGCTATCTGTTCCCCATTTGCAGCAGTTCAGATGTTTTTTATGGGGCTGTGGAAATGTCAGTGCCAGCAACTGGACATAAAATACATCCCAGTGGGGTGGGAACTCTGTCTCTGGTTCTAGTTTTATCAATGAGCGGCATTATTAGTGCGGCAGAAACCAGAGAGATCCTCGCGGCGGGGACCGAAGGACTGGCTGTGGTGGCCAGGTTTGGGCTGGAGGCACGAGGCTCCTTGGTGATTCTCCAGGCGCTCATGAGTGCCTGGGGCAGGAGTCATTTCTCCATCAGGGCTTACCCAGGCAGCCAAGGGCATTATTCATCTTTCAGGAGGTTGCTATTACAAATCAATGTTTTAGAAAGATTAGCCAAGCCAACTCCATTAATCCATTTCCCCCTGCTCCATGTAATTAACTTGTCTTTAGATGACAATGTGGCTCCTATCAGAGATCTTAACTGTCTGGGAAAGGAGCCAAATAGGCACGACGCTGCCATGATGTCCCTGCTTGCACAAGGTCTGCTTTGGGATTCAAGCAGCAATTAGAACTTGGAGCTGAGACACACCAAACTTTTCAACTTTCCTGTTGAAAAAGGCAACTATTTTCAAGCAGAGTCCAAGAGAAAAAAAATAAAAAATAGTCACTACAACAACCCAAATCCTGTCGGAGGTATTGGCGTTCATGAGCATCCCGGGGAGGGGGGAGAGCTGAGTAATGCCGAGGCTGGTGCCGGCTGCTTGGCTCCCTGCCTGGGGAGCCTGGGCAGGGACCAAGGAGTCTGCGGGAGCCGCTACCACCGAGCTGCTGCTCGCTCGCTCGCAGGGACGCATACCACAGCCCCGCAGAGCTGCAGGGACGGGCGAGCAAACAGAGCGCATTGCTGTCATTCCTGTGTGCTCCGTGGACTTGCACAATGGACGCCTTTGGCCCATGAACGTTAAGACCCTGCTGCTTAATTACAAACGTCTCTCCCAAGCATAGCTCTGCCCCTGTGGGACTGCATCAATACAGCCTGTCTGCCAGCCGGCGTTAGCCACTGGGCTCGTTGTAACACCCCCGTCCTCCCTGCATCTCACTTTGCAAGAACCGGGCGCTTCCCCGAGAAAGGCTAAAGCCACCCCAGGGCCCCGTCTCCCTTACCTTGGAGAGGATGCAGAGGAGGGAGAGGAAGAGGAGCTGCTTCTCCAGCTGGAGCCTCATGCTGCTCTCCCCTCCGCCACTTCAGCACATCACCCCCCAGGCAGTTTGGAGGCAGCGGCGTGTTTGCAGGTTTTAAAGCCCCGAGTAGGTCCTGCTGGTGTTTATACTCTCCCTGCTCTGATGTCACTCACAGGCTCCAATATAAACATGACTAGGTTTGGACAAGCCTCAAGATTTTCTTTTTTTCTTTTTTCCTCTTTCTATTTTTTTTTTCCAGCCCACATTCCAGCTGCCATTTCCACTCCCCTCAAGGTGAGAACTCGCTCTCCACCCAGACAGCGAGCGAAGGGAAGGGACGCTCTCCCCGGGGAGCGCGGCAGAGGGCTGGGGAGTCGGGCTGGTGGGGTGACCCGGCACCTTGCTGCTAGCCGGGACCTGGAGGGAAGGTCCATGCCTCTTCCTACGGATCAAGGTCTGCCCAGATGGAGCCGGTACCTTCCTCCTGAAGGGTTTGGCGGGGCTGGCCCTGCCACCAGCTGCTCTGGGACATTGCCATGACCCACCCCTACACTTTAAGCCGAGCGCCGTGCATGGCAGGCTGTGGGACAGTGGTGAGTTGCCCACACTGCCGTCAAGGGCAGGATCCTGTCCCTCCATCGCTGGGGACAGTGAGTGACATACAGTGATTGCCGGCAACTGAAGTTGCAGCAGTTTGCCAGGCAAACTCTCCAGGCAGTAGAGGTGTGCTTCCCTCTCCGTTCTCTGGCACAGCAAGAGCCGGGAAGGGATCTGCTGTGGTGGTGGTGTTGCCACAACATCCCCGTCCTGCCCGGGGGGGCTGCTGGGGAGGGGGTTGGATGCACATCGTGTGGCGTTGTCCCAGGTACATGATGCAGAGAGGGCTGCAGTCCGGCCCTGCTGATTTCAAGCCTTGTAAATCCCAATTCAGCTCCTGGAAAATTATGATTGGCTTAAGCAATCATGAGTATTTAAAATCTAATTTGGGGGAAGAGGAGCAGGTGCTCAGGGTTTGCCTCCTAATGCTTTACCACTTTTTGGTCTGCCCTGTGCAAACTTTCCTCGTGGTGAGGCTGGGTCTTCAGAAAGAAAAAAAAACTAAAACACCTCAACACCTTCAGGAAAGAGAGCCTCTTCTCCACATTCCCATCTCCTGGATCTTACCACAAGATGTAAGAAGGGCAATTTGTGAGTCCGTAGCTCAAAGAAAAGGCCTGAGCTCACGTAAGGATGCGGGATGCCCTGCAGCTCTCCGCGGCTCCTCTCCCGCAACCCCCCCTTGCCTGCAGGACGTGGGCTGAGAACTGGGAGCTCCTGCCCTGGAGCTCCTGCCCTGGCCCAAGGGACGGATCCTGGTGGCTGCGCACAGACTCTCCCGGTGTTGCAGGCACGGTGAGAACTGCTGCTATGTATCCTATATTATGATATATGTTGGCAAACGCGCAGGAGGGGCCGGGGGCTGTAGAGGCGGAGCACTGAAATTACGCATCCAGGAGCGATACCCCATCCTGCCCTCCATCATTTTCACCCCTCCTTTTGCTTTTGCAAAGGCAGGTGACAGGTCCTTGGTCACCTGAGCAGCAATGCCGACCTCAGCTCTGCCGCTTGCCGTAGCCTGGGAGCCAGGGCACGGAGCGGGGAGGAGCACACAGCCAGAGCTCTCCCGTTACCACCCCGATTCTCCGCTTTGGTTCTGCTTCGTTAGCTGCAATCAGCCTGTTAACGAGGTTATGGCAGCTTGTGGAAATACCAGGCCACCTTCCAAAGGCTGCTGTCACTTATCCCGGCGCTGGAGTCTCCGCTCCTCATGTTGGAGCCCCAGCTCCCCGCCTTGCCCGAGCCCTGCCCGTCGCAGGGGAGGTGTGAGGACCGCGCATTGCTCCATCCTCTCTAGCAAGGGGGGGGTCAGGCCCTACCGACGGAGGGTCACAAGCCAGAAGGTTTGACGCCAAAGGCTGGAGGCACACCTCGCGCTGCCATTTTCTCCTCCGCTCCCCAGAGCTAATGCCATCGCGAGCAGCCAGAGCGCTGATCCAGCCTTGCCGCAGGGGGACGGCGAGTTCAATTAATTATTCCAGGCTTGTGTTTATTAGGGACTCCTGATTAATGGGCATGACTTCATTGCCCATGTAGAAATCAGGTGGCGGTGCTGGTAAGGGAAATAAAACCCTCTCGTCGCCCTCAGTGAGCAGCCGACAGCCCCGTGGGTGAGGGCTGGGGGGGCAGTGGGGCACCCCCGGGGGGGCAGGGGCTCAGGGCTGCCCAGGGGAGCCTGCTGGTGATTAACTCCCCCCCGTACCTGCCCTCTCCTGGGTACAGGTTCGGCTCTTTGGGGTGGGGGACCTCTTTTTTACCCTCTCCCTCAGCTTGGGACCAGAGGGGACATTACTTCCCCCCCTCACATCCCTGTTGCCACTGAGATTACGTTGCAGTAAGGTGACATCACTGTGATGGTGTGACATCCCTAGGAAGCCAGCAGAGCTCAGGCAGTGGCAGAGAGCCGTAGCACCAATCCAAGCAGCCAGACAGGGGCCAAACCCACCATCCTGTGCCTGGCCAGCCGCCCGTGCTTCAGATGGCATCGGCACTCCCCGGCGGTGCCTTGCTGGGTTTTGGGGGTGCCCAAAGGAGCTGGCTGGAGGGGTACACAAAGTCCACCATGACTCTGCCTTCCCAAGGAGTATTTTCTGTGGGTGAAATGGTGATATGGGCTTGAGCTTCCCTTCTCCCGCCTGTCGGGGTCCCACGTGCCCGCCCAGGTGACCATGCCAGGGGACCAGGGGCTGCAGGCAGAGCCCAGCAAAGCCATACAGCCCTTTGCACAGGCTTTGATTTGCAAAGCCACACGAGAGCAGCACATTAGCAGTTCATTTTATAAATACTCAGTTATAACCCTTCCCCTCTGGAGCATGTACTCCATATGTGTTCTGTACCATACGTGTGATTTCATACCCAGTAATTAACTCCATATGTTGTGCTTCGCAGTTTCCATGGTATTATTGTCAGGTTTTTTGAGGAGGTTGTAATTATTATTTTTTTTTTTGTGGTCAGTTGTGCAAGAGAATAGTTGATACAGGGATCTGAATACATCTCCTTTGAGTTAGCCGCTGGCAAGCTCTGCTGTTTCTATAGAAATGAAGGAACTGACCCAGTGAATTTACATTTTAGACAGCTGGTTTTTTTCATGTCTGTGCAATTTAACGTGCCATCGTGAATAACACTGCAAAGCTCTCATTTGCGCACCCTGCTCAGCTGAAATTGCATCCATCTGCGATGGATATAGACCCTATTCTCCCTCCATCCCTTTCCTTTGCTCAAGACTTTTTCCTTCTTTACTCTATGCCATGTGTTGAACACCGTCCCCAGAGCTGGCTGAGGCCAGACCAGGGTCTGGACATCCACCTCTGCTGGGGAGCACTAGGCTGTCCTCCATCCTTGGTGAGTTTGTTCCTCTTCATATCAACAGTGAAATTACTGGTTTAGGGTGAGCCCAGCTCCATACCTTGGTGTGGAGGACGTTCCCTTTGCTTCTGGGCACTCCTGGCTCAAATTCTCACTGCAGGGAAGCAGGGCTGTCCATGGATGGGGGACAGCACTGGTGGGAAAGCTGGACAGACACCTAGCTTGGAAAAACCAAGAGCCCTGAGCCGAAAAGGAGCCGTCTCAGGTCTCCCTCAGCTGTTGGATACTTTGGGGTGGCTGCTGGCTGTTTTTCATGAGACTTCTGGAAACACCCCGGCTTTGGGAAACTTTGAAATACCTTCATTTTTGGCAGGATGGAAAAGTTGTTTCCTACCCAGAATGAATCCGGCTCCAGTTTCAAACAGCAAGAGCTGAGAGAGGTGGTGATGGCCATTTCCATGCCTGTCTGGCCATTTTTATTCCCCCCGCTTCTCACACCTTAACTGGAGAGCAGAGCCGGGATGGGAGGACCGGCCACCCTGAGGGACGGGACGGGCAATCTTTTACCTTGAGGTCACTGCTTCCACCCCAGACCCGGGCTAGGAGAGGCTGAAAGTATTTACCATCTGGTGCCTGTCCAAGTGACTTGTGAGAAAAGAATTCAGGGCTGCCGTCCAGTTTCTGATGGTCAGGCAACTACATCAGAAAACTTCGGCTTCATCTGGGACCAGCTGACCCCTCCGAGCTCCCAGCCGCCGCGGCGAGGCTGGCGAGGGAGCGAGCAGCAGCCGGGCATTGCCCTCTCCCGAGGAGAAAGCGGCTTTTGGATGGGCAGCCATGCGTGGTGGTGGGGACGCTTGATCCTTCACCATTTTTCAGGCATTCTTAAGTAGGTTTCATTAGGAAGAAGCACTGATAAATGGGACTCGGTGCTGGTTCTGGTCTCAAAGTTTGACACTGCCAAGAGGAAGGAGCTGAGCGATTACACAGGGAGCAAACGGACTACCACAACCAAGAAAGGGCTTGCTTAGCCAAAACTATAGAGAGATCTCATCTTTCAGACTGAGGGACTTCTCATTAGTACAGCCCAGCCTTATATCAGCTGTTGGGAAAGGACAATGCTTTTTCTTAATACGCATATCAAACTCCGGGCACTAATTCTGTGTGATTTTTTTTTTTTTTTTCTGCAGTCCAGACGAGAGCAATTCATAATTGTCCCCCTAAGTTAAACATTCAGATAAACCAAAGAATAAGACTTTTATAAAACAAAGCCTGGAAACCTCAGCCAGATGAGTCTTTCCATTATTGTTTGGAAAACAGTGTCAGAAATCATCACGTATCAAACATTATGATCCTCTGAGAGTTTATTTTTGGTATCAAACATCATCAAACATAAACTTCTTTTAAAAAATCTCACTAGAAGTTTTGTCTTTCAGACAAGATATAAACCCGAGATTCTGACCTTGTGTGGTTACTGACTTGGTATTTTCCATGGAGCTGCACGGCTAACTCATGTTTCCTGATCAAATTGCTCATTCTTTTTGACTATCTCTGTTTTTCTTGTGGTTTCAGGCTAAAATAGACAGTGTTTTTCCTTCAGTTCTTGTCTTGGTCCAGTGTGCTGTGTGTTCTCAAGCAGC